TATGAATTGAACAGAAGTTTGGTGTTAGCAGCGCACAATTGATTATGTTGTCAAATATTTTATCTATTTATTTTCGGTCAAAGCTTTCTGTTTATTCTCCCTCTCTATCAAGCATTTTTTATATGGACTCAATATGGTACTATGAGTTAACTGGCACTTTTATTATCTCCATTGTAATTGTCATTTCCACTATAGTCTATCTCTTCCATTTCCAGAATCTGGTTATTTTGATTGTGCAATTGTTGCTAGTTTGTTGTCATGAGGGCTTGGTTAGTTTATGTGGCTGTACATCACTCACAAATTATGCTGGTTGTTTTGAATCTCTTTGTATAGGGTATTGATTTTTAGCTTTTTTTGCTTGTGCCTTTTAAAGGTACCCCATCACTGGATGTTACACAGTACTAAAACATATATTTCCTTTTCTTCTTGGTAGAACTAGTTGGCCGTGTATTTAAAATTGGGAAATATACCTTAACGGACCAACTGACACTTACAGTTGGGAGAAAATTATTTCTGCTTCCTCTGGGGGTTCCTAACATGACCATTCTGAACTTGATACAACTTCATAAATGAGTGAGCACACAGATTGTATTAAAAAATTTGGGATAAAAAATGTGAAACTACGTATGTGATTATAATTGTAGCTCTTCTCAGGGTTGAGATCTTGGGAGTGGTTGCACCTGACGCCTTCAAGGGATTTAGCTATTGTAGCATACATTTTTGTTCAGCAGGGTATTCCTGAATTACATATTTGCTATACTCTATATCCTTTTGTATTATATGGATAAGTTATGTCCTATTTATGGATGTTATCTGTCTTGTTTTTTTTTTTTTTTTGATGTATTTACACATAACAAGATTATAGGCAACTTGACTGTTTTCTTTAGAATTTTCACTATGCAGAGTGATTTATTGACCCAAAACTGTGTTAATTTTTAGACCTCATCCAAATGAGTGTTCTGGAAGTGATCTGGATGGTGATATCTACTTTGTCTGTTGGGACCCTGAATTGATTCCATCTAAACAAATATCTCCTATGGATTATTCACCAGCTCCAACTACGACATTGGATCATGAAGTTACCATTGAGGTAATGAATCATTCAGATAATATTCTGCATAATTTTATCTAATTGTGCCTGTTATCCACTTTTCAAAAAAAAAAAAAACATTGCCCTTGTTATCGTATTCTCTTGTTATAGTTTCTTGGTGCTAAAATGGATGATTTACGCTCCCTCTCTCTCGCTGCTACATTTTTTTTTTGGTTTAAGGATATTATCAATTTGACATTGTTCAAAACTCTTATGGGTTCATGTTGTCAACCATTTAATGATCTATATGTGGCACCAATGTAACAGCTAAGGACCAATTATTTAATGTTACATGTTGGATCCTGCTTCTTATTTTAGAAGTCAGTTTTAACACATTTTTGCTTACATTAGATTGTATAACTCCTCTTATGATATATGCATAAAGGTGTATTTGGCATTTGCTTATGGAAAGTAAATTCTCTTTACAAAATAGGAATGTCAGTAACAAATTGTGACTTCAGGGTTCCAAGGCTCAAAACTAGATAAGTTTATAATTAGTGCGCAAATTTGTGGACTCCAATTGAAAGTAAATATTGTTGACTAATTATTATCTAAATAAATCAAATGTATGATAATGCAGATTATGGTAATCCAACAAGATAGTTAAACAATAGTGTTATTTAAGGTATTTTGCATGAGCATCTGTGCAATTGTTTTGGATAATTTTCATTTAATCCACATTTTAGGAAAGTGAAGCAAGTTAATTTGAAAAAACTACAGTTATCCGTATTAGCTAACTATAATAGAGAGAAAAAAAGAGAGACAATAGAGAGGACTGCAATAAATTGAAAACTAAAACAGTAACCAAAACATATTTAATAAAAAAAAGTTATATAAGGAAAACAAGACGATTTAGGAACTTTCTTTGGCATGAAGATGGAATTATAGCTCTTTTCCTCCCCTTTCTTTACTGGACTCTTTATTTAGTTAGGCTTCCATAGAGGAACTGGCTGATTGCCTGTGAGAAACATTTTAATTTTATTGACTGTTGTTTGATAAAGTAAAAGACTTCAATGTTGAAAATTATGTGCTACTCTTTTAATGTTGAATTTGCTTTGAACTTGTTTGATATGCAAATTGAAATTAAGTATTGAGTTACAATTCTCTTTTCTTATAACATCAAAGCATCTGCATAGTTTTTGTACTATGTTGTAATACATTTTATGGCTGCTTCAGTTTCAGAATTGATATCTATATTTTCTTTTGTTGGGTTGTGTAGAATTAATTGTGAGATTCCTGATATTGACATTTAATGTTAGTAAACAAATTAGTAACAATAAAAGACGGATACCTAGTGGTTAGTGCATGAGTCTCTTGCATTTGATAAGAATTGAAAAGATGGTATAGAAGGAAATTTAATTAGAATTTAGGGTATAAGGTAGTCAAATAATATTTTCTTATAACCAATTATACTAAAATTGTTTTTTGCATTCAACATAAGTAGGTCTTTAGTTCTCTTAAGTGGTATTTAGAATGCGCAGTGAAAAATACGAAAGAGCTAAATCATTTGAAATAAAAGCTATCACCATTTTAATTGAAATATTCTGCATAGAACACTAAACAGGTTATTACTTGATGTTTTCAATGCGTTTTCACTTAAAATATTCTGTTAATTAGTGTTTAAAATTAGCAACAAATATATTGGAGAAACTACAACTGTTGAAAATTTTGATTTTACACTTTATCCGGCTACCAAAAAATACCTTAAAAAATAATAATTGAGAGAGAGAGAGAGAGAGAGTTGGGGGGGGGGAGGTGACTAAAGGTCACTTCTATAGTATCCACCTTTTCTTTCCTAAGAAAAGCAAAGAGGGGAGGGGAGGGGGACTAAAGGTCACTTCTTTATTATCCACCTTTTCTTTCCTGAGAAAAGAAAAGAGGGGAGGGAGGGGTGGTGTAGGGGTCAAAAGAGGGGCATAGCCACAAAAGTGTGCATATTGTTTTGGTACCTAACATTGCTTGTCCTGTGTATCTTTGATCCTCTTACAGCCAAAGCCTTTATAACCTACTATTTTTTTGTCCTCAAAATCCCTTTTCTTTCTTTTGTATTTCTTCGAACGAGAGTCCGAATCCAGAGCAACTCTACCCCTTTTCTAGTGATTATATTCTTAAAAATGCCCAATTCCTTTCCTCTGCTTTTCCACCCTTCTTAGAGAAAAGGAAAGTAGAATTAAAAGCAAAGTTTCATGAGTGGAGAAACGTTGACTACATCAAATAGTTATACAACTAATATATCTACATGCTTGCAGCGTCATGCTTAATTCTAAATTGTATTTTGTGAATGCAACATTTGGATACTTCCCAAATCCTTGAAGGATCATGATGTTACATCTTTGTTTGCACCAAGACCATATGAATTAATGACTGTAATGCTCCCCTGAAATTTCTCTCTCTTGCTAAAAATGAGAATAATTTCTCCTGTATTCAAGATGAATGATGTTCATTTTGGTGCAGGAAGTTGAAGAGTATTTCACAAACTACATAGTCAATGACAGTTTAGGAATCATTGCAAATGCTCATACTGTTTTTGCTGATAGAGAGCCTGGGAAAGCAATGAGCAGCGAATGTATACGGCTTGCAAAGCTGTTTTCAATTGCAGTTGACTTTCCAAAAACTGGTGTACCAGCTGAAATACCACAAGAACTGAGAGTTAAAGAGTATCCAGATTTCATGGAGAAGCCAGATAAGCCAACCTATCAATCATACAATGTTATCGGAAAGCTTTTCCGAGAGGTGAAAGACCTTGCACCCAATGAATGCTTTATCAAGTCCTTAACTCGGGAAAGATTGGGGAGGTTTTATGATCCTGATATGGAAGTTGATGGCTATGAGGATTATGTTGATGATGCTTTCTATCACAAAAGTAATTATGATTACAAATTGGGGAACTTGATGGACTATTATGGGATCAAAACTGAGGCTGAAATACTCAGTGGGGGTATCATGAAAATGTCGAGATCTTTCACAAAGAAAAGAGATGCAGAAGCAATTGGCGTGGCTGTGAGGTCCTTGAGGAAGGAAGCTAGGTCATGGTTTAATGAAAAGGGAAGTGGGTTAGATTCTGAAGCAGATGATCTATTTGCAAAAGCCTCTGCTTGGTACCATGTCACGTATCATCCAAGTTACTGGGGCCTGTATAATGAGGGAATGAATAGGAATCATTTTCTGAGCTTTCCTTGGTGTGTTTATGACAAGCTGATCCTCATCAAGAAAAAGGTGACTAGTAGAAGAAATTCGCGATTGTCATCTCTAGAATCTCTGTTTGCACGTGGATTGCGTTTGCATTGAGTGATTTGGTGGATGTTCCCCTTTAGTCTGAAGCAGATAAATATCGATAGCTCGTCGTTCCTAGTTAGGTGTGTGTATATATTCATACCAAATATTATATTGGTTGCGACTGTATGCTATCTAATGTAAATACGCAGTGTTGATGTTTGGTATTGGTAGCGACTGAATGCTATCTAATGTAAATACCCAGTGGTGATGTTCGAGAAAGAACACTGTACAATATGCTACTTATTTATGTTGGTTTGGTTTCTTGAGATTGTGCAACAAATCACAGTGGGTTTCACTTCCCCATAATCATTGGAGCTGTTCAATGACATGCACCGGTGCATGGAATTAGAGGATTTGGAGTGCTAAAAACCTAGAGATTTCCAATACATTGCTCTTCTTTTCTGTACAAGCTTTCATTGCAGGCGCAAGGTTGCTGATGGTTGGGCTCAGGTAAAAGAAAACGGCTGGTCATGACTTTCCTTAGGATTCTTCTTTTTTGTGCATATTGGTTGTTCATAGAATATAAATATGAGATCTGTGTCCAACCATAGACAAGTCTGTACTTTGTAATGAACTTGCTGCCTTCAGGAAGTTATATATCCTGGTGGGTTAAATCATCATCATTAGCTCTAAATTTACTCAAACTGGAAATATCATACGATAATAGAAATTTTTACATCAGGTTAGCCCAAATAAGGACTTGCTTTGGACTATGGGTCTTATTCAATGCTAAATTTATAGAACACTACAACATAGTTCGTGCTGAGAAACAAGTTAAATGACCAAAGCAGAGTGGTAAAGGATTCTGAAGTACCATCTTGAAACCTATCATTTGCGGGTCAGAACTATAAGTAACTGGGTTCCTGCAGTGCAGCTTGCCTTCAACACGTGGGAGTACTCTTCAGCTTTCCTGTCGAATCGATCAAATAATTCATCGATAATCTTGTTCCCAAAATGCTTGCTGATGATTCCCTCCATGCCAGCTCTTAGGTGCATTGTACAAGGTCGTGTACCAACCTGGGCATCTATCTTAGATACGGGATTCGTTGTCTCTATATTTTCAATTCTAAAACAGCCATTTCTTTCTACCATGTCTTTCATCTCCTTCAGAGAGGCAGAATAAATAGGCAAGTTGAATGAATCCACCTGGGATTCACTTATTATTTCCTGCAGCAAAGCATATCAGCTTCGTCATTTATATACTTGTTTTAGACATTTCAGTGTAACTTGCAAAAGCTCTTGCTTGGATTTTATAGTTTGTTAGGTTCGCGAACAGATGATGCGACTTACCTCCTTTGCCATGTCCATGAGGGTTGAACCCAGAAGGTCAAACATCACACCTACTGGAACGCGAGAATTAGGTACCCCATCAGGGATTGATGTCAAGATGAGCACCATCATCCCTCCAGCCACAAGCTCCTTAGCTCTAGCATCCAAAAATATCCCCATGTCCTCGGCAAATTGGGCTGCATAAGCATTGCCTACGTCTTCTGCAGCATTTGTGTAGTGAATCCTCCCCTTGTTCCATGCAGGGGAGTTCTTGTCTAGCACCTCTTCTGGAACCTTGGACAGCCACTGTAATGCATAGGAGGAATGAACAAAATGGAGGGATGACTTGGGAAATAACCGGTTATGAAAGGATCCTGGCACTCCAGCTGCAAAATACTGCCTTTCAGATGGGAGGGAAGCAAACAGGGTGTTGAAATCATTGGAAGCATGATCATTGAACAACACTTGGAATTCTGGCAATTTGGAAGGAGGATCCTGAGTTCGGTATTTATGCTGCATCGCTTCTAGCACGTTTTGCATAGAAATGAAGGTGTTTGGTCCAACTGAGCATCCTAAATCTGCAATACGCAATGTGTTCGAAGTAGAAGAGAGTTTCACTATGTCAAGCTTCTCCGTTATCGCTTCATGGATCTTTGCATCTGTAGTGCTTGTAGCCGCTCTCTGCAACAGTTATTGATCTCACTTAGCTTGTGGTGTTACCAAAAAGTTAATAATTTCAGCTACTTGTTTCTTATTATTGTTGTGTGAAATAATATTGACATTTTCAGTGCCCTCATCGAAGACTCTTAAGGTCTGTCTTAGGAGGATCTGGTGCTGCCAAACCAGTAAGCCAGATTTGACACTCACTTTGGCTAGGAAACTGACGAGAAAACTCGTTAGCATGCCATGAAGCATACCGAAGGATAATGATTGTAAAATTAACTGCAAATCTGTTTATTGACTACGCTTACTTGCGTCGGCTAGCCATAAGGTCGGATCTCCCCAAGGGGAGTGCGATTTGGGTGTGCTCCTTACAATCAAATCACACTACGAGGATGATTGACCCACGAGAAATAAGGTAGAGAGAATTTTTTTATAATAGGAGAAAAAAATTTTAAAATAAAAAATAATAATTTATATAATGTGATATTTTTTAAAATTAATAAAAAATAAAACTATTTAAAAAAATTATTATATCATTAAATTAATAAAAATGTTAATATTAATGATCACTTAATGATTAAACTTATGTATTTAAGGAAAAAAAAATTTTAAGATAAATATTCAATTTGTGTAAAATTATGATCAAAATTTATAAATTCAATATATTTTAGGTAGGAAAAAAAATAAACAAAAACAAACTAAGAAAGTAAGGAGCATGAATCTAGTACATACTTTTACAATTGCAGACCTTTAAATCACCTTGACAGATATAAATGCAACAACATGTTTTGACATAAAGCAACATCGCATACTGGTCAAGGAAAGGAGTACAGACCCCAAAATGATGGGTTAAGGTCAAAAGTCTCGACCGTCCTGTCCTTTGGATCATATGTCGAGCAGTACCAAAAGATCAAAAAAGGCATACCTGAAAGTATGAGTTCTTAGCGTAGCTGTAAGCTCCGTCACCGCCTTTCATGGGATGTGACTCCAGAACTTCACCAGTGTTATTGCTCATCCTTAAGCCTTTCAACGGTTCAACTCTCTCACTCAAGCAACCTGTGTGGCTTGGGGTGGGAGTCGCCTTGGTTTCGCCTATTTATAGAATGTCAATCTTCAAAAGATGCAAGGATTTGGAATAGTTCCAACCCAAAGATATTCTAGTGGTTAACAGTTGACTTCAAACCAAGCGATATAGACGGGAGTTTCAGTGAGTCTGATCAGAAAATCAGTGTAGCAGTGACATGGAAATTGTACTAATATTAATAATAAATACCATTAAATACACCTAGATTGCTGATTCGAAAGTCAAATATAGACACCTGTCTTGATGTTGAAATCTTCTTCTTACCCAGAAAAATTATAGATATCTTGGGACGGAAAAGTCTCACATTAGGGAATGTACATGAATGAATGTATGCATGTATGAACATATGATGAATTCACCATCACTTCCTATTCTACGGACTACGGCAGTCTATCACTCAAGGCGAACCATGATCGATGGCCTCAAATGAGGTAACAGAGTGAGAAGAGAAGTGAAACTTGTGAGTGAGTATATTACATCTCATGGCAATTCAATACTTTTAAAAGTCTAAAATGATTAAATATTTAAATAAATTTTTTTTACTACAATTAAAAAAATTATAATTAGTTAGAGATTATTATAAATATATTTATATTTATTGAAAATATAAAAAATAATTAAAAGTTATTAGTAGTATGAGAATTAAGAAGTAATAAAAAAATAAAAATTTATTATACACATAATTAGAAAAGTAAAAAATATATAATTTTATTAATTATTTTGATTTTAACATAAATGAGAAAATGAAATAAGTGATGGAAAATTAATAAAAGGTAAGAAATAAGAGAAAATAAATATTTAATAGATATTTAATTTAAAAATATTCTATTAATTATTTAAATTTTATATATTTTTAATATAATTAATTATATTATATAAAATGGTGAGACTAATAAAAGTGTGGGACCTAAAATAAAGTCTTTGATGGTTTGTGCTCAAGCCGGCTCTGTCACTTCGCAAAATCATATCACAACGCTCCTGAAAGAGAGCTGTCAGTGTAGGGAACAAGTTGTTGTGAAAAGTTGCCGTTTTCCCACTTCAGACTACATTGATAGATGTTGATGCTAGTTGCAAAAAGAAAGAATAGTGTAAAGCCTGATGGCAGAAAAGATAATAACAAATGGAAAGCATGGCATCGATGGGATCAAACGTACAGGATGGATGATGATCAACAGTTGGGCACTTGTTGATCAAAACCTCAACGGGCAAAAGGGTTCATAAACATTTTCTCAATGTATGTTTGTGCAACATGGGGGCAGAGTAGCCTTAAAAATATCAGAGAAATGTATCATATATACATATAGAAAAGAGCAATATTTTTAACTTAAAAAAGGAACAGATTACTGAGTTCCCTTCGGAGCAATGTCATGGCCAAAGGTTTGGAGTTTAAAGCAGTTGACTTGTCTGCAATATTGAAAGTAGATTTCAAAGAGTGAAAGCAACAGATAGAGCAAAGAGTGACAATGGAGTGTGGAGAGACAGGGTAGTGTAATTGGATGTGCTTGAAAGGAGCAAGAAAGAGAGAAGAGAGGGGGAAATGGGGGGAAAAGGAAGGAGAGGCTTGAGTATGGAGAGAAGGCCAGCGTTGCTCGGAACAAGACTAATTCAAAAAACTCAGAGTAAAGAAGAAGACAAGAACAAGCAGAAATTATGATGGATTTGATTCATTAGTGCTTCTTATGTAACATATGGACTTTTAAGATTGAAAAAGCATATTGAGTTTTAGCAATTCTATTAGTTGGACAGTAATTAGATTAAATCCCATGGAAAGACCAGCGATATGATTGTTCCCTACTGTCCACAAAAGGAGTACAACTATAAGAAATTAGCCATGAGGCTGCTTGCAAGTTCGTTCTCAACATATATATATGTTTATTCGCTTATAGCAAAGTAGTCTTATTATTACAAAAGTTATGCTGACCAGAGAAATGTACTTGAAAACAGTGCTAGTTTCAGCTGCAAAATCCATCATTTGCGTTTCAAAATAACAGATAACTGAGTTCCTCCTATGTAGCTTGACTGAATCAAGTGGAAAGATTCCTTGACTTTCTTAAGAAGCCGTTCAAATAAATCATCTATAATTTCATTTCCAAAATGTTTGCGGATGATTGATTCGAAGCCAGCTCTTACATGCATCACGCATGCCCTTACATCACCTCTGGGATCAGCCTCAGTTCGCCAATTTGTTAACTCCAGTCTCTCAATGCTAAAGCATCCATTTCTCTCCACCAGCTCAGTAATCTCCTTGGGAGAGGGAGCATAAATAGGTAAGTTGAATGAATCAACTTGATCTTCACTTAATAATCCCTGTAATGTTTAAATAGCATTTCAGTTTCACATCTTTTGGAATTTTTGGCCATATATTAGTGAAATTTTATCAACACAATTGCAATCAACTGTTGGATTTTACAATATTTTCAGTAAAGATTACAGCTGTTGAGTTTCTCACCTCTTTTGCCATATCGTTCAAGCAGGATTCCAGGCAATAAAACATTATCCCAGCTGCAAGGTGTGCATATGGCATCCCATTTGGGCAACCTAGTGTGATTATTACCATCATCCCTCCAGATACAAGCTCTTTAGCCCTTGCATCCAAAAAGCCTTCCATGTCCTTGGTAAATTGAGCTGAATAAGCATCAACTACTGCATCAGAGGCATTTGTATAGTGTATTCTCCCTTTATTCCAGGCAGGGGAGTTTTTGTCCAGCAACTCTTCTGGCACCCTACTTAACCAATGCAATGCAAAAGAGGAGTTCACGAAATGTAAAAAAGACTCTGGGAATAATCTGTCATGGAAAGACCCTGGTACACCGACTGCATAGTATTGCCTTTCCTTTGGCATGGAGGTCAAGAGGGTATTGAAATCATTGGAGTCTTGATCATTAAAGAACACTTGAAATTCAGGAATTTTTGAAGCAAGGCCTTGGGATTGGTACTTGTGCTGCACAGCATCTACAATATTCTGCATAGTAGTGAAGGTATTTGGTCCCACTGAACACCCCAAATCAGCAATACGAAATGAGTTTGAACAAGAAGAGAAGTTATTGATGTCAAGCTTCTCCCCAATTGCCTCACTGACCATCCCCTTCGCAACATTTATACCTGTCTTCTGCAATATGTAATTGTACAGATAAAAAAATATAGAGTATCAGGTAAGCACCAACTACAATAGAAATATAAGTATGCTAGCAAATGAAAATGTTCACAATAAGGGATTTCCACCTGATAATAGGAGTTTTGGGTGTAGCTGTAGGTGCCATTTCCCCCATTCATTGGATATGATTCCGCCATTGTGATTGTCTAGTTAATTAGTCAGAAATCAAGACTATCTCCCTATGCAAGTCACGTTGGAATGTGAACTTCTAGCTTAAATATACGCTTCAATGCCAAAGTGTAACGTGAATTCTTAGATACGAATTTTGTTGGTTTCCATCTTCAACGAGGCGGACATTGATTCTGATCTGTAGTGATCAGAATTGACTTCTTTTGTCTTGGAATATTCTTGTATACTAGTAGGAAGAAGTCTGCCTTTTTTGTCAATACCAGGATTGACTGTTTCCTATTACAATAAGACACAAAGAAAGATATGTGAAGATCGTTGTTAAAGAATAGACTTGGTGTCTACACTTGAGAAAACCTGACAGGTTTTTTGGCATTAACAAAGGGAAGAATTCTCTGTTTCTTTGGTGTCTAACCCATGAGATTTTCCCTTGAAGCGGCAAACATTTTCTTCCATTTCAGAATCTCTCTCCCTTTCCAACTATATTAAATTTCGGATGGTATCTTTTGCAGTTTGGACAGCTGAGATGCTTTTCGCTTGTTAATATACGAAGCAGCTGCACATTAGAGCCCGAACTTGGACAGGGACTGATCTTTGTCCTATCTGTTACTGTTACTTTTGGGAATTAGTTCTTGAATCCATGCGATGCAGGGGAGATCATGTAATTATTTCCAGTATCTCCCTTTTCTGGTTAGTACCTATCAAAATACTACCAATCTTTAAGTTGTTTGTTGCTCCTTCGGAGACAAGATCATAATTAACAATAAAGAAATTATCAAAATTTGATTATTCAGTTCGGAATTCTAGTGATGCTAACAATTATTTGACCTGCATTTTTAGTACATTTAAATCAAATTGAAGGGTGTTATGGTTGATATCAAAACAGATGTTCAAAGCATTAAAGATTATGAAAACAATAATGCAGAGAACTTAGAACAAAGTTAAGAGAAAGTAACTTTGCAAACATCGAGCATAGCATTAATTGAAGAGAGATACAAATATATATGTAATACATGCATGCAGCACCCGAACATTTAATTCATTGGTTAATATATGATCTCCCTATTTAAAGAGCAGGTTAGAATCCCCCTTCTCCAATTATATAAAAAAAATATATAGATACACTACATGCATGATTAACACTTGTACAATATCTATCAAGTAATGGACACATACCCAATACTTAGTTCAGAAAATAAACAAAGCTCAAGCTAGTTTTATCTTAACAATGGGTTGCATCAATCCTGCCCTTGAACTTTTGCAAGTTTTCCCAGACATAAGGTATAGAGTAAAGAAATGATAATACGGATTCCAGCTAGAGGGTTTTCCTAAGGGCAGGCGCAGCAACATTTTTGTCATAGTTCTTAACTTCAGCTTCAGCTAATGTAGTACATTGGATCCGGCAGCTTGAACGTCCGATTGCCAGTGTTGGTGCCCAAGAGATCACTCCATTGATCACCTATATTTCCAACGATTCTGTACCCATTCTTCTCCAGCTTTTTCCTCTCATTTGATTTGTATACTACTGATGTTTTTCCTGAATAGGATGATTCCCTGCAATGAAGAATGTCATGTTCGAGTAGATACAAAAAATAATTCTCTTACATTTGATTTATTTACGAGCTAGATCATTTTGTCTATGATTCGAGACAATATAGTTTCAAACAATAAAAGTAAGACAAATTTGCAATGGCTTTAAGTAATGAAACTTACTTGAGTATAAGCTTCTCCCAAGTGTGGAATCCAACTTTCTTTAGATTAGCAGCTGTTGTACGTCTTTGGTCTTCTGCTCTTCCAGTTACGAAAACAGCCTTAATCCCAAGAGATAATAACTTCTTGTATAGCTTAAAACTCTCAGGCAAAGCTGGAGCTTTGCCTTCCATTACCCATTTATTGAACAATGTGGCATTGAATGGCTCCACCCTGAAAATTTCATTCATGTCAACATTATTCAACAAAATCACCCATCTAATTATTCAAAAACAAAAGAAAAATGTATTACATACTCTGGTCTTGAAATGTTTTTACACAAAATATTTTATAATTTAATAGTTATATTATTTAAATAAATTATCAAAAATATTTTCAATCATTTGGATCATTCTATTTAAAATTTCATTACTCATTTTCACCCATTCTTTAAAATTTTTCTATCCTTCCACAAAAAGTTAAACATGACTGGCCAACGGACGTCGTAATTTTCATGTTATTATAGTACATGTGGAAAGAAATAAATAATGTAATAATTAAGCCTTGGGATTGCTAATCTGTCCTCGAAGTTGGAGAATTGAATACTTAATAAGATACGTAAAGATTCGCATGCTCTGACATTTGTGACATATCGTTATCCTATAGAATTTCATGGCACACTGCCCAAAATATATCTGTCCTTAGCATAATATTCAGGTGTTCCATGCTCGTGCAAAATGTAACTAGACCTCAACATGGTTGAATAATACGATATGAAATGCTACAGAATTCGACAAAAAAAGGAAAAAAAATATAGCTATAGTAATGCAAAACGACCATGCCAAATTGATAAACGACGCTCTGATTGTCTGGAGAGAAAAGAAAAGAGGACGGGCGGGGACACCCAATGGAGAAGAAGAAAACATTTGCGTTTCCTTTTATTTTTCACCCAACTTTTTCTATGAATCTTTAGATAAAACTTGTCAAGATATATACAGATATTGATGAGGAAAAGAAATGGGTTTAGCCTTAAATATTAATTTTACATCATAGATTTAATCATGGACTGGCCACACTTGCCTTATTATTTATAATTTTGATTAACACAGAGGAGTAATAATGAGAAAAAGATTGTAAACCAGCCGCCCATAAGCATAAGAAATGCGAAAAGAGAAAAAAAATGGTTTAAATGGTTTCATATTCAACTTTTAAGGAGTCGCATGTTTCACATAATAACACTTCGATTAGCTCTTAATTTAGTCAAAAATTATTCTAAAATTGAATCTAAACACTACACTTCTCTCTATAATGATAATGATAATATTGTTAATCAATATATTTAATCGTATTTATTGTAATTAGATGTTTAATAAGCATTAAGATTATCTAGTAATTTAAAGTTATCAGATTATCTAATAAAAGATTATCTACATTTAAGATTTTTCACCCAAACAGGATGAGAGAAATTAAGGTGAAAATGAAAATTCTTTCATTGTTAAGTACTATGAAAACATTATGAAATGTGTAAGCATTGTTCCTTAATTTGTTTTTAAATTAAAAAAAATTCAAACTCTACTCTTTAAATAAAAAAAATCATACACTAATTAAAGAGTTAAGTATGATATTTGATCAGAATAAGATTATTTTGAATTTTTTTTAAATTCATATTTTTCTTACGAAACTATTATAATATTCCTTACACAGACAAAGTAAAAATGATTTATATATATATATGATAAAATATATACAATGGAGTGAGTGATTACATACCCGAATCCATGCTCAGCATAATAAGGCAAATTGGAGAGGGTCGTCTCATCTACGTCAAAGATCCAAACGTCTTTGTCGTCTCTAGGCAGCTTCAGGCTTCGGGCGTAGAGAAAAGCCTCGTCCGCTACTGCTTTGGAGTCTTTCCGATACTGGTTCCCTAACATGTAATGACCTACATAACCTCCACACTCTTGTGGAATAGTCTTCCACCCAATAATGTTGTTAGTTTCCACGCCAAGTCGCCAGCTCAGGCATGACAAACCAGGTACAAGATCTCCTCCGGCACCGGATTGAGGCCGGAGGAGGTGAATATGGCGGTGGACATGATCCGGTTGTGATGATCCCTGTGAGAGTGTTAGAATGTCGGCAAGAAACAAGACTAGGAGCAATGCCATGGTGTGATTTGCTCTTAGAATAACAAGATTATTCTACTTGCTACATAGCCTGCTAAGCCAGTTTCCTCCTGTTTAAAAAGGGTATATCGTGTCTCCTTTTTGTACTTATTTAACTGGAACCTGAGTCCTTTTGATTAACTTTATAATAAAAATAACAATAAGACTATATAGTTATTAAAATATACTGTTCATATTTCTCATTTCTAAAATCTACTGCTTACAAAGTGAATCATTCTATGAATGTTTGGATCTCTGAATGTATGAAAATGATCGAATTACTCAAAGTTTTATGCTTTTTTAATTAATTTCTAGATTTCTTTTGTCTTTTATTTTCCTTTTCCAAGAGGGAATCTTATTGTTTATGCTTCAAGCGTTTAAGTTTTGACTTTTGAAACAGGCAATCAAATATGTCAGGGATTCATGTGATTCACGTTTGATGGATTGTATTACATGGCAATGGAAATCATTTTCGAAATGATTTTCCACACATATATTGCTGAAATGTACAGTCAAGATGATGGCTCTGAGATGAGATTTCTGCTTCTCCATTTGTTTCAAAACAGTGTAAGCAATTGTAGTATGTTTGACCATATACACAAGGGAGAATATTTGGAGAATCTAAAGTTCATGATATGTTTCTCTAAGTGATCATTAGGCCACAAACAAGTCACATGAAAACAGGAAAGAATTTATATATTTGGATTTTAAGAGACACCATTGCCAAGCTTCAACCGGCTCTGGTATTCCTTCTTTTCAAAGGCAGGACTATTTGAGATAGGAAAAGTGGAGAAAAGTAATACATAAATAGATACATTGAACCATGAGAACAAAAACCCATTTTTGGATTAATTCTCAATTAATCATTTCATAGTCATTGTCAAGTAACGATTCAAAATTGGAATATGGGTTTGCTTAGTTTTTATAAAAATAAGGGTCCGAGTAACGGGTGCTTATAAATACTAAATACCGGTTAAGATTAGTTAAAATATTTTTGTGATTTAATTCACTATGCTTAAAAAATATGCATTTGTTACAAGTTTATTTTTAAAATTATCACCTTAATTAGTGTTAATAAGCCTATTAATATTTTCCTTTATAAAAAACATTCTATTTGATCTAACTTATAAGCTTTTTTAGAGTGGAAAAGTGGACCAAAAAGGGTTAAAGTCACTCCTAAGGCATTTTGTTTAGCCCTTTTGCCCACAGATCTCTCCTAAATCAAATCAAAGCTCTATCACAATCCTAAAACCTTATTTGCCAGCTTAAAATCTTTTATGTTTGGATTGATTGTTTGTAGACATAATGGAATTGAAAAAATATAAACATATGTTCATCTAATAATGGAGGGATGGACTCCTAATATTGTGGATATGTCACCAATCACTCTATTTACAATTATGAATGAGCGTTGACAATTCTGAAATTAGAAAAAGAAAACCCACCAAAGGGCAGAAAATCACAAAGGATTGGAGAGAAAATGGAAGTCCAAAGCTCTTATCTACAATTTTGTGAGTTGCCGACGCTTTTAGGACTTGGCCTTTCCGATGCAGATTAGTCATCACATGCCTAGTTCAATTAAACTAATTCCATTAGCAGTGCCGGCTCAAGGGTAAGGGGGCTTTGGGCCATAAATTTTTATAAGCCTTTAATTTTATAATAAAAATAATAATTAATTGTGTTAAAAATATATAAAAATAAAGATAATTAATAAAACATCTATCTATTCTCTTAGATCTAATAAATATTTATTTTATCTCTTTTTCACATTTTTATTAATTCTTAATTGTTTGACTCATTTTCTATGTAAAAGTTAAGATAATTAATAAAATAAGATATTTTTTTACTTTTCTAATTATGTGCTTGATAAATTTTAATTTTTTTATCAATTCTCAATTCCTACAAAACTATTAATTCTCAATTATTTTTGTTATTTCTAATTAACCAACATTAATATGTATTTAACAATCTCCAACAGCTTTTTTTTTTCTCAACTATTTTTTCTATTTTCAATCAATTAATGTATTTAATTATCTCCAATAGCTATTTTTTTATATATAAAACTTTTTTTTCAATTTATAATATCCATTTTTGAATTCTTATTTTCTCATTTGCTATTTTTTCTTTTAACTTCAATTTTCTTCCAAAAAACATAAAAAAAATCTATTATACTATTATTTTCATAAAGTCATTGATCTCATTTGCTGTTTGCAATAAATATTCAATAATTAAAAAATATTATTTTAATATTTACAAACTTTTTTTACTTTAAGTTAGAGTTTATATTATATTGTTATATTGTTTCTATTTTATATAATAGTTGATTTATTGACTTAAAAATTTAGTTAAAAATTTTAATAAATTTTTTTTCTTAATTTTAATAAAAAAATATCTCATTTAAATATTTAGTTTTAGATCTTTAAGATTATTAAGTAGTTCTTGTCAATTGGCTTAATAATAATAATAATAATAATAATAATAATAATAATGTTTTAAGTGTCTCGATAAGCAGATAATTTAGTATTCATAAAAGAATATGTGTTTATAAATTTATTATTTATTATCTCTTTTCTATTCGTGAATAATTCAATTTCTTGAATAAAATTGCTTTCGATGAATAATATTAAATTGTTTTAATTATAATTTAGAGTTGAAATTGTGCTTACACTATTAATATCGTGAAGGCTCGGCCGCCGTAGCAGCTTTCCAGAAAACAAAAATTGAAAGCATATGCATTTGACTGATTCGCCACCGCCAGTTCACATGGTGGCTGGTTTTTGACGATTTGTCTATTTTAGTGCATGAGTTCAATTGATTCTGTACATATTGAAATAAGATACATGGAATCAAGCTTTTGCAAGCTTAAGCTTTATTATATTGATAGTTTTTTTAACTTATTTTAGTTTATCATTTTATTATTTATTTTCTTATAAGTTTGTAATTTAGAAGAGAAATAAATTGGTAAATTTATTATACTTAATTACAAGGAGAAAATGCTTAAAAACTAAAAATCAATTTGAATAAAGTTGTATTTACCCAAAAAATAGAATAAAATAAAACATCTACCACTACATCAATTAAATCATTTCATAAATAAATAAATAAATAAAATTTTTTTATTCATTAAAAAATACCTAAAAAATTATCTCCAACTCCTTCCCTTTGTATTGTAGAGGATTATATTATTATTAGGGCATCTGTATAAATGATCATCCGCTATTCCTCTTGGATTTTATGCATGTGATCTAGCTTTACTCACCGGAGAGTTGGAAGGATATTACGTTTATGTTTAGACCGTTTGCATAGGTTTAGACTCATGGGTCAAAATTTGCATGCAAACTCGGCATAGTAATTAAGCAATTAAAGCATTTCTTAATGATTGATTTGATAATCTATATACGCATTCTTCTCTTCAAATTAAAAGTTAATTTTCACTTAAATATGTGACTCAATAATTCATACGGTGTAATTCCATTTCCATTTTCTTTAAAGTATAGTTCAAGTCTCTTCTTTCTGGAGAGGGAGGCTAGGTATAAAAATCAAGAAGGGCCAATTTATAGTTAGGGTATTTTTAAGTAGCAATTTAGTTAAGAATTATTATTTATATTATTATTATTAATTTAATTATTACATATTGGTCTTTGGTGATTACCAGCAGTACTTTTTGTGCTCAGCCTCAATACCTAGATAAGAAGGGAGGGAGGAGGGTTGAAGGGCGGGACACGGGTGGAAATTTCAAGTTCCAGACATAATGAATTAATGGTCTCCCCGATGAACCTTGATGGCAAGTAAACCCAGATGATGGATTTCTGCCTTGAATCTTGGGATCCATATGGTTTATCAGGTGCAGCAATGGCGCTGTTAGAAAGCAAAGACGGGACGAATTATAAGATTAACCAAGTCCAGGTCTTGCGTTAGAAAGCTAGCACAAGGATGCAGTGCATGCACTGGATAACTAAATTTCACCGCTAAATATTGAGGAATGAATCTTAATAGCCTGCTTTCGATGATAAGTAACTAACTGTCCATGAGGAGAAAAGAGCCTATCTTAATTTTCTCCATTTTATCACAAAACGAAAATCATCACTTGTCAACAGTTCTTGCAAACCACAATATTCTGCTGAAGTTCCAATATTTCATAAAGGCACCCACATAAAACATGTTTGATATTAAATATGAACAATAAAATGATCAATGCTAATGGTCTATACACGTTTTAATAAGCTATATATGCCATGCAACCATGCATCATGAATTCATGGGCTAAACCTAGATGCATTGGATATGGCCCTAACAAAAGAACAATGAGGAAAAAGGGAGATAAGTAAATTTTATTATTTTCACTATATAAAATTGAGAACGAAGAATATTTTTGAACAACACCAGAAGAAAGATAATTCGGATTGCAAAGGGGGGATCTCCAAGACCCTATCCTACAACTTCATTGCAATATGTAAGTGTTATTCAGAATGCCAGCCTTTAATAAAATTGGAAGGGGCACAGATTCAAAAGTATCTGCAAATAAACAGATATGGTACAGATTGAGAACAGATACAGTGCTTATCCAAAGAAAAAGGTCAGGGAGGGGAGGGGAAGAGCATTCTAAGAAGCCAAATGCATTATGAACCTTGATATATCATCAGAGAAGGTTTCTAGCAGGCTCAAAGCTTGCAGGCTCCTTATTTCCGATAGAAATGCTTGTGTCATCATTAAGGCCCTCCCCTGCTGTCACTAGCTTAGCAGCAAACCAACAAGCATAGTAGGAGCCAAAATAAGCAAAATCTTCTCCCCTTGTGCCCTATTGTACTTTATCTATGAAAGTAATCCACAATGTACTGAGAACCAATTAGATACTCTGTAACAATATTATCTAAACCAGATACATCCCTTAAGGAGCTTCTCCGACCAACCAGCTAAGCACACAACTCAACTCACCCTAGCCTTGATATGTAACTACTTAGGGTCAGCTCTAGAAACCTTTTTCTCAATTCTGACTCATAAAGGGGTTTATAAGGTGGAAAAAAAACCTCAAATTAGCTAACCAAATGAACAGTGGTTAAATTTATGTGTAACCTTTTGTAGTCATGCATTGAAAATTTAATCATCACCATCATCTCAGAGGGCTAACAATCCAACCAGTAATGGGATTTTGCCTGCGAACTTTGAATTTCTTCCGTGGACCACTTTGCAGCCGTTCAAGCACCGCATATGTAATTGAATCAGGTGTTAACCCCTGCTGCTTAAGCTTTGCATAGAGATCCACTGCTTCGGCAGTCCTCCCACTTTTCTCGAGACAGTCGAGCAAAATGTTGTATGTCACAATGTTAGGATAGCAGCCTTCAGCAAGCATTTCATCAAATAATGTGCAAGCCATCTCAACTTTATCTGTTTTGCCAAAGCACTCAATGAGTGTGCTGTATGTTACAACATCAGGATTTAATCCTCTCTCTTGCATCTCCTTGAATCTTATGTGAGCTTCATCAAGATTACCGTTTTTCCCAAGGCAATTGATCAAAGAATTATAAGATACAATATCAGGTTTACAATCGCTTTTCTCAAGTTCTTCAAAGATTTCGATAGCCTCATCAACTTTTCCAGCCCTTCCAAAGCTGGAGATTAGAATATTATACGTAAATATGTCAGGCGAAGGGCCATGCTGTTTCATCTTTTCATAAAGGTCATGAAGATGGGATATTTGCTTTAACCTACCAAGTGTTGAAATCACTGTGTTATACATGCCCGTATCAGTATTTATTCCCTTTTCATGAATCTTACTTAGCAGGTCCAGAGCCTCAGTTGTTTTACCCGCACTACACAGGCTTTCCAACATTGACACATAAGCATCCTTGTCTCCCTTATCGTGGAAGTTCCACATGTTGCAAAATAACCGGTGAGCCTCACTTGCATGACCCAGCTTACTCAGCGTCCTTACAAGATATGCATATATTGACTTACTCATATATTTCTTTGATACTTCAATAACTTCATCTAGTTTATTAAGCCGCCCTTCTGCAACCAGAACGTTTAGAATGACACTGTATGTAAATTCATTGGGCCGACAACCTTTCCCCACCATTTTAGAGAAGAGGCTAATAACCTTGTCAACCATCCGCCCATTGGCTAGTGCCTGAATTATTGTATTATAAGCAATTAAATTAAGAGAACAGCCTTTCGATATCATTTCATCAAAAAATTTCAGTGATTCATCACATCTACCAAGTTTTCCAGTCAATCTGATCATAATTGTATATGTGTACTCATCAGGCTCACAATGCTTTCGTCTCATGTCTTCAAAAACCATGTATGCCTCATCAACCTGTCAAATGCTGCAAATCAGATTATCACTTCAGGGCCAATGAAACTGATACATCCAGTAACAAAATCAAAACTTGATATTAACGCAATTATATTGAAATGTTTCCTTCCTATGAATTTTTCAAAATTATTAGAAGGAAATAAAAGTACCCTACTAACACTACTGCTAAGCAACTTCACACTCAAAATAACAATGTTGAAGTTCGAAAACAGAAATGTATGAGGTTCAGAGGTAAATGCTCCCAATAAATTCCGACCATCAAGCACAATCAATCAAAAACTTTGCTTTTGCAATCAATGCAGTATTTGCTCTTACTCCAAAAACCCAAAAGATTTCGAATATTCTCAATGGAGTCAAACTCCTCACACTCAAAAGAGAACTGTACAAATAATAAAGCATTGGGCAATAACCACAAGAAAACCAAATAAAATTTGTAAGAAGTAAGAACATATCCATCAATTTAAGAAGAGATAAGAGAAGCAAACCTTTTCATCCTTTGCCAAAGCATCCAACAACATGTTATAACCAAACACATCCAATTTATAGCCTTTCCTCTTCATCTCCTCATAAACCGAAAACGCCTTCCCGGAGTCGCGTGACCTTAAGTAAGCTTGAACCAGGCACTTATAAGTATAAGCGTTCATCTTCAACTCCCATTTCTTCACTAGCATTTTACAAGTGTCCAAATCCTCAGTGTTTCCAAAAAATCCGATGAGGATATTGATGATGGAGATGTTGCCACGAGTGCCGGATTTCTCCATGTCGTGGAGGAGTGACCGGACGGTGTCGAAGCGGTCGGGGCGCAATGATTTGGACAGAATGAGGAAGAGACGCGCGTAGGTGAAAGGGTCGTGGCGGAAATTGGGGCAAAGGGAGGGGCAAAAGTGGAAGAACCTTAAGGCGAGCGAAGAGCAGTTTAGGGATTTGAGAATGAGGGAGGCTTCGGTGGTGGTGAGCGTTGGGGAGAGGGAGGACAGGTATTGGGAGAGATCGAGGAAAGGATCGGATGGGGATTTGGTAAGAATATGTGTGGCTTTACAGATGAGGTGGTGGCGTGGGATTGGGTAGCCGCGGGAGTCGGCGGGGAGGATAGGAGTGAAGACTTCGGCGGAGAGGATGCGGCCGCTTGGGGAAGTTGAGGTTATTTTGGCTATGTATTTGGTGGCATAGTGGCGGCGGTTAACGGTTATGACTTGGTGGCAGTGGCGGCGATAGTGATGCTTCATGGAGGCTTTTTGATTGCGGCGACTTAGCTCCGCCCTATCCCTTCAAAAAGAATGAAGAGAATCAACTGTCACTTTTACAGCAACTTTACGTTTGCCAGCGATTCTAAGGTAAATTTCATGAAAAATTGAAGTTTCGGTTATTAACATAAATAAGGAAAATAGGTAATAATTTTCATAAAATAGGTAAAATATTTTACAAATTATGTTAAGATTGTTTTTACTTTGATATTTTTATTTATAAAAATATATAAAACAAGCATAAAATATATCAAATATCATTGTATTAATAAAATAAATCAAATTAAACAAAAGTCGATGGTTCTAATAAATATAAATACTAGTGGGAGAATGTATTTATTTATTTTTATATTACATTTGAAAGTAAGTGGCTAATAAGAAAATAGACTTAGATTTAAAATCATGAGATTTTTTTAGTTTTTATATAAAATGAATATATTATTTTTTATATATTTAAAGTTAGAATTCACTCTTCTCTCTTGAATTTATTCATTATCTATCAAAATATTATTTTATAAAAATAAGTATTTTCTTCATGAATAGGTTCACTTACTCCACATATGCCCATTTCTACATGCAGTCGATCCAAAAACACAGAATAAATTTGCACTTCCATTACTTCTTAATACAATTACAGTGCAGTAGTAAATTTTCGAAATTTAGGCGTGACTTTCAAGCATTTGAATCTTAATCTATTTACGTTTTAGTATGGCAAATAGCTGAAGCCCATCCCTGTAACATGATTCCATTTGCTGAGAAATCTCTGACAGTCTTGGAACAAGCTGATTGAACAATTCATCAATGGTCTCTCTGGAAAAATGCTTGCTGAACATTCCCTCCATTGCAGCTCTCACATGTTTCACAAATGCAGGGATGTCGATGGGACCTTTCAGCCATGGTGCAGGGTTCATCAATTCTATCACCTCTACAGTAAACAACCCGTTTCTTTCCACTCCCGCAGTGAATTCCCCAGGAGGGCAAGCGTATATAGGCAAGTTGAACGCATCAATTTCAGCTTCATTGATAGATCCCTGTAACAGAGTTTCAAATTCTAAGAACTAGAAACAGGGGAATATCAGAAGAAAACGAATACCAAAATTTTCTAATGACTCGTCATCTTATATGTTTGCCAGTGCAATAAACGTACCGTTTTCACCATGTCCATGAGGATGGATCCCATGCAATTGTACATCAAACCATTTACAACTTGAGAATAAGACATCCCGTCTGGTATACCTGAGCCAACAATCAACATCATTCCTCCTGATACAATCTCCTGAGCTCTAGCATTCAAGAAATTGTCCAAGTCTTCAGCGAACTGAGTTGCGTACGCATTTAAAACCTCCTGTGGAGCACTGGTGTAGTGAATCTTGCCTTTGTTCCATGCAGGAGAGAGCTTGTCTTGCAATTCCTTTGGCAACTTAGAGAGCCAATGAAGTGAATACGAACAATGGGCTAAATGGAGAGATGATTTGGGCAGCACTTGGTCATGGAAAGAACCTGGCACCCCAGCCACCATGTATTCCTTGTCTTGCGGGAGAGAGGTAAAGAGGGTGTTAAAATCATTGGTGGATTGATCATTGAAAATCACTTGAAATTCTGGCATTTGAGACACAGGACACTGAGACCTATACTTCTTCTTTACAAACTCTAGTAAATCATGCATAGCGGTTATTGTATTTGATCCAACCCCACAACCGAAATCTGCAAGACGAATTATGTTGGAAGTGGAAGAGAAGGATGCCACATCTAGCTTCATCATAATTGCATCTTCAATCTTTTTCTTCACAACATTTGCTGCTAATTTCTGCAAATAGGGTATAAGTAGGCCCTTCATTTAATTTTTTTGTTCTTTGTGATAACAAATACTATATAATTTACTAGTAGCCAAATTTTAACAAAATACGTTTATTAGCAGAAAATCCAATTTATTAAATAGTCAAACTCTTGCTATATATGTTATTGCTAATATACGCTAAAGAAGAGAACCAATATATATAGGCGGAAACCATCCATAAATCATGAGAAAACTTATAAGAAACTCAAACTTAATTAAAAATTACAGAATAAATCTCCAATTTAATCACTTAACATTTCAATAATTTTTATTTTTTAATCACTTAATTTTAAAAAATTACGTTTTGATTATCAACATTTATAAAAATTAATATTTTGATCATTCAACTATTAAAACTATCGATTATCTTACATAATTTCAAATCTGCTAACTTTAGTTATATGACTTATCTAAAGATAATGCAGGTGGCATATGTATTATCATGTGACAAATAAGTTGATATGGACATGTCACATGTCAAATTCAATTAACTTAAAAAGTTATATAATATGGGTTTTAATTTTTAATGATTGAGTAATTAAAATTTCAATTTTTATAAACATTAGTGACCAAAACATGATTTTCAAAATTAATTGACAAAAATAAAAAAAATTAAAAATTAGGTAACTAAATAAATATTTATCCAAAATTTAAAATCAATTAATCTCTAGCATCTACTTTACTACTAAGATAGTTAAGGTTGTCACTTTACCTTTTTCATTAATAAGATGAAGGGATTCAAAATGTAAAATACTTTTATATATTGATTGGTTTACGGAATAAAATAAAATAAAATTCAATTATTAATCGTGAATCTCATGTGTGTGTACGCAAATATAAATGGACAAATTAACATGGACATGCAATACATTATCCCTTCTGCCCCTTTTTCTTTATTCATCTTTGTTTTTTAAGATGTCCCTAATTGAAGTCTTTTTTTCCCTTTTTCATGCATCTATTTTCACTTTTAATATTTCAAATTTACTTTTCATGATTTTTTTTAACTTTTTCATATTAAAAATATTGAACATCTATATTATAAAAAAAATTTAAATTTTAATATAATATATATTAAAATCAAATTTTTTATCTTAATTTTTATAAAAATAAAAGAAAAATAACAAAAAAGAGACGAATGGAGTAATCAATATCACGAGATTTCGAGCATTGATCGTATTGGTTAAATTCTTTCTTTTCTTTTCTTTTTTTTCAACTATGGGTTAAATTGTAAACCTGGTAGAAGGAGTTGTTGGAGTAGCTGTCAGTGCCATGTCCACCGATCACCTGCGCTGGCGAATTCACTGCTGGTTCGCTCTTCTTTTTAAGTAAATTAGACACCATAGTCGCCATCCCTCCTCTCTTGTTGTCTCTTTGAGACGAACTAATTAATTCCTGTGTTCTTTAGATCACTAGAGCAAGGCTTAGTGACTACAATTAGTAAACTTAATTTGCACATATATAGGCAGAGGAGTATGTGAGATCATATATGCATGCGAAATGCGTTGGCCATAATGTTTTTTGGGGCATGAAATGTCATTTTCTAATAAATTAAATAGTTTATATATATGTTAAAATCATGGGTCCAAGCTGACTCTAAATGAAAGGGATATGGTAGTTTAAGCTTAACTTAATGTCATTTTCAATTTTAAAAAATATTTGAAACTCTCTTATGCTTTGTTAAAAAAAATTAATTCAAATCCAATTCTTTAAATATATACATTTATCATAGAATTAAATGTTGAATATAATTCAAGAATTCTTGATCGATATAAAAGTTATCATTCTTTACATGTGATAAACAGATGAAATTATTATATAAGTAAAACTAATAAATTCAAGCTGATAATACTCATCCAAATCCCAAGCTAACAACGAATTAAGTTAGTTGGTTAGCCATGCACGCATGAAGTCCCTCGACTACTAATTAAGTGGATTATCATTAAGAGAACTCTGAATCATATGTTAAGTGAGGTACTTTGGTTTGCATATAAGAAAAAAATAAAATGACCAATATTCCCTTTTGTACTAATGTATCTTTTAGATGGTATATTGACCCTTGTACTACATTGATTACAGACAATATTTAACAGACTACATTAGAATCATTAGATGTTTGGTTGTAAGCACACATATAAGATCCCTCTAATATACAACAAAACAAACAGCTTAATTAATTCTAATTAACTTGGCTGATTTCTTTCGTTTGGGACATACACGGGCTAACACAGGATGACTAACACCATGCATGAAGGAAGGAAAAGAAAGAAAATAAAAGAAAAAAAAGGTATTATTTCTTTGCTTGGATGAATAGCCTTTCCCTTTCCTTTTCCTCTTTCTTACTTAAAAAAAAAAAAGGAAATTAATTTTCTTCGCTAATCCTATTTCCTGCTTACTTCATCCCATATGGTGCATGCATAAAAAATTGTATTTCTTTATTACTGTCATATGGTACATGCATCACGAGTTAAGGACCACATCTTTCATCAAAAGGGCCAAAAAACAGAAAACGAATTAAGGACCACAATATATATGGATTGAGACCTAAGATTATTATATTTCCAATCAATTTGTACGGCATCAATATCATATGGATCGATTTCGTTGTCAGATGCATATTTAACTAATTAGAAATGATATTGCATTAATAAAAGGTGGCATTAGTTAATATGTCGTTAATCTCCGGCCAAAAATCATGATACTGATTTCACTAAATAAATGGGAGCCCCATGTCTTGGCTGTGGTCCTTGCGATCTGGTCTGCACATCTTTAAAATTATTTATTAAAATGGTAGTAGCTAGGAGAGCTAGCTAGCTTGCTTTGATTGACTTAAAAGGGTATCCACACATTAAATCATTTGTCACTTGTCACTTGTCTCGTACAAAACGCGAGGGTTCTGTCAAAGAAAAAGTAAAGTTGAATTGGAACGAATAAGAGAGGCTGCCATCCACTGTGATTATTTAATGTTTTATGTTTTGTTTTTAATTTTAAATAATAAAAGGTATTAGGTTTGAAACAATCGTTAAAGTATTTAAAAATTTTTAAATAAATTTGTATTTTGATATTTTATTTTTATATTTTTATTTTAAATTAAATAAATTATTATAATTAATTATTAATTAATTAATATTCATTAAATATTATTTTATATTTATAATGATGTTAACATGGTAATGATATGAAATTTAAAGCTATCATATAATTATTTTATTATTTATTATAATATGTCAATATATCAAGTTTAATGTAATAATAATATAAAATTAAAAATATCACATAATTATGTTAATATATCACATCATTATCTATAATGATATTTCAATTTGTTATGTGACATAAAGTGATTTATGGTATATAAATTTAATTAAATATAATTAAAAATATAAATTTATTTAATATTTTTAAAAAATAATTTTTAAATATTATGTCATAATAAAATTATTATTTAAAAAAATGAGTATGTTAAGCACTGGTTCCTTAGCCGCAGCTTTTTGTATTCCTGTGATTTTTGCCTTTGTAAGCACTGGTTCTTCTCTAATCTACAATGAAATTCTTATTTCCACTTTTCAAAAAAAAAATGTTAAGCATGAGTTGAAAATGTGAAATTCATAATATAACAATTTGGGTCAAGTACCGCTGACATAACAATTTTCAAAGTCTAAACTACATAACTTCAAAAGTTTAAATTCAAATTATTAGTCATGATCATTAACTTAAACTCTTGTATAATTTTTAAAATTCACATTATCTTATTGAAACGGAGTTTCAAGTTTTTTCTTTTGACACATATGAATGACTAACCTTGAATTACAAAAAATGAAAAATAAAAAAAAACATTTTCATCTCATATATATATATATATATATATAACACTATATATTAAGATTCAAACTCAATACTTTGTTAATAAAATTTTAGATTGTAACTGACGTAGTGTTGCAGCTACAATATATATTATTGCAACAAAACAAGTAAATTTTTTTTTTGAAAGGTAAAACAGCGAGTAAATTAAGTGGATTGGGAGGATACAGAAAAGGAGATTTAACATAGAAGAATTGGCAAGAAACAGTAAGATAGAATCACTAAACCCTCATTTTCGTATTAAAACAACTAGTAGCTGAGTTCGTTCCTTGTATCCTGATTCCACCTGTTCAGAAAACTTTAATAGTTTTTGGGTCAGTCGTTCAAACATTTCATCGATACTGTCGCCGGTAAAGTGTTTGGTCAACATTCCCTCCATTGCTGCCCTTACATGAATTACCCAAGCTTTTATATCGACTGGACCATCCACCAAGGAAGCTGGGTTGGTTAACTCCAAACTCTCAATGCTAAAATGCCCATTTCTGGCTACCAGAGCGGTCATCTCCTCCGCAGACGGGGTATATATTGGCAAGTTAAAGGAATCCACCTGATCTTCACTTATCAATCCCTGTATTAGAAAAGTATTGGTCATATGTATCTGATTTTGCCTCTCTGCGGGGGGTCAATTTAATATTCGAAAGATGCAAAGGGTATTTCAATTATGCCTTCTTTCTAAATTAAGGTATGACACCAGACTCAGCTCAATCTTTATATTTTTAAGTGATTCTAATTCAATTTAACAAATATAATGAGATTTGGGTGAAGATCTTGGGTTCGACCTGAAAATCTCTTTCTTGTACCAAAAGCCAAAAAGAGAGAAGAAAAATTAGATGGTTTAATGCTTTAATCACTAATGTCTTGGATAACTTACCTCATTTGCCATATCCATGAAGCAAGATGCCATAAAATCATACATCAGACTAGCTGCCAGCTGAGAATAAGGCATCCCATCAGGCATACCTGGCATGATCATGATCATCATCCCACCAATCACAAGCTCCTTTGCTCTAGCATCGAGAAAGTCCAACATGTCCTTTGCAAATTGAGATGCATAAGCCTTGACAACTTCGTCGGGAGCATTTGTGTAGTGAACCCTCCCCTTGTTCCATGCAAGAGAATTCTTATCTAACAACTCTTGCGGCAATTTGGAAAGCCAATGGAGTGCATACGAACAATGCACCAAATGGATGGAGGATTCCGGAAATAATCGCTGATGGAAAGAACCGGGCACGCCGGCTGCAAAATATGGCCTTTCCTGTGGGAAAGACATGAAGAGTGCATTGAAATCGTTGGAGGGTTGATCGTTGAAAAACACCAGGAACTCAAGCATTTTAGACTTGGGGCATTGAAGCTTGTACTTCTGCTTAATGAACTCCAGAACATCTTGCATTGCATCGAAGGTATTCGGCCCAACAGCACATCCCAAATCTGCAACAAAAATTGTATTCGATCCAGAAGAGAGCTTTTCCACATCAAGCTTCATTGTAATTGCTCCATTGATTTTTTTCTGAACCACATTTGCAGCTAGTCTCTGCCAATTGTGACCCACATTTTTTATATCAAAGTCAACAAAGATTTTTGTGACAAGCAAGAAGGATTGTATTACTAAAAGAATGCTGCATTAATACTCGTATATTAATTTGGGTGACAATGTTTCATATAACAATAATTGGTTTTAGAACTAATCGTTTGGTTTTAATTGTTGTATATGATACTTTTTACATTTATGATGCAAATAATACTGCTTTCCTATGTTACTTTTTTATTAATTACTTTTCAATACACTCATTATCATGTTTCGCATACATAAAATTCATTATTAATGAACAAGTCTATATATATATATAATTAATTAATAGAATACATCTTAATTCAATAATTAGAAGTCACATATCTCCCTAAAGAAGTGGTTATAAAAATTTTCGAATCCTCCATATCCACAATATTTATTATTACAAAAATTTTATATTTTTGTTTTTATTACTAATTTTTGGATACCACATATATATTATTAACTTGTAGTTGAATTTAATCTGTAGTTGAATTTAATCATATTAGAATTCAATTTACATAGCTTTATTAAATGAAATAAGGTACTACACATTTAAATCAAATTCGAGAATTTAATACTTTATACTTTTTTTAAATGTGAAAACCCATTAGACTTGGATTACAAAAATAACATTAGCTCTCCCATCCCATAAATCTCACTCCCCTTTCTCAAAAAATTCAAGATCTTAGCAAGCTCTAACCATCAAGTATCTCCTTGAAGGCTTCCATATATAATTGATACATAGTTACTCTTTTTCAACTTAATTAATTAAGTATTAAAACAAAGGACAGCTGCAATATTTAGAACTTTGAACTTTCAATATAAAGATCTCAAGTTCAAAAATCTTGAAGAAAGGAGATTAGGTCTTATGGAATAGGAGCGAGTGACCCCTTGAAATATAGCTCAAGTCTATTTATGAAGGATTCTAATAATGAACAAT